AGCTGGAGAAGCATAAGCTCACTCTTCTGCTCAACATTATGAAGTCCATATCCTAGCTCCTTGCTTGGCAGGTATGGTTTTTCGAAGCATGCAGGTCGGTTGTGAATTCCGTATGTATTTAGATTTATGTGATATCATGATCTGCTGCTTGAAAATCTTCTTCTTCCAGTTTGAACACTTCAGTGTATTAGTTTATTAAACCTATGCTTGTTTATTAACTGTCTAGTTGAAATTCTTGCAATTAGTGCATTAAAGAAACAATGTATTTTATTCTAAGAAATTTATATCATTTTCTTAGCAGTAAACTCGCTTTTAAATTTATGTTTAATCTGCAGCACTAAATTTCTGCAATATTATTTCTATAATGGTTTTGTTATGATTATAGAATGTTTATGAGGCTGATTATACATTGTATTCAATAAAGGATTTACTTCAAATGTATGGTTATTGTAAAAATGATTATTTTATGCAAGAGTATGGCCGCATTCAGAATGGATTGCTCTCGGTAATTTCAAGTTCAATTATCATTCAGGCTCAATTATTATTATTCGCAGCAGCATATTTCTGCTAAAAAGCTTTCTATGATTTTTACAAATCAAAATTATGACTAGTTTTTTCTCGTAAAAAATTATCTTCAATAGTAAATTTCAAATATATAAGCATAATTTTGGCTTTCACTAATTTTCGATTTAAAATTAATCTTATAATTTTCTCCATTTTAAACAGGTTTTGCAAATACTTAGTTTCTTATCATTATTTAGTAAAAAATTTTATGCAACAAAATAATTTCTATAATTTCATTATCAAATTACCATAAAAGAAATTTGAAATATTTAAACTATTAATTCATTCATTTCAGCTCTAAATTTTTTAAAAATTGAATTTGTTTTAGCATTCGGAATGCGTGACTCTATCAGCATCCAAATTTTATTTTCAACTTTGCTGTTGTGATAGAGAATTGAAGAAATGTGAATCACTAGAAAATGAATTAATAATCGATCCTAGTATAACGACAGTGACTGATCTTGACTTGAATCAAAACAAAAAAAGCGAAACTTTACGCCGAAAATATAATGAAAAATTAGAAAGACTGTACTACAACAGGCCTCAAATCGTATGCGCCATAAGCCATGTAAAGTATTAAATTTACAATTTAAAAATTTTCTTGCTTTAAAATTTTCATGTCTAATTTGGATAAACCAAAAGTCTTTCTGTATTACGCATTTTTTACAAAAAAAGTTTTAATTTCAGCTTCAAATTTATATTATCAATTACATATTATTCATGGTTGATGAATATTTTTTGTAGTTTCAAACTTCGGAAACAACAACATTTGTTCTCCGTGACATAGAAGATGCGTTGCCTAGTGAAACTCGTTCTTGTCGATCTATTTATCATTTTGAAACTTTTGATGACGTCGAGTATTTGTAAGATTTAAAATTATAATACAGTTAAAAAATACAAGCATTTACAACTAAAAGAATTGTAAAATGAAACCAAATTGTTTAGAGTATGTAATGCTTCAAATTGCTTTTTCAAATTTGATTTTATCATTTCACACAAATTTTTATTATCAAACATATATTTTGACCTTCAAAAATTTTTATTTCATACAATATTTTAACTCAAAAAAATGTTCTTTAAAAATAGCTAAGAAATTTTACATAGTGATCGAAAAATTATAATGAAAAAAGATCAAAATAGTTTCAGAAAGTTAGCAAAATAAACACAAAAAATATTATCATGCAAAAAATTAACTTATCGTATTTTTTTAATGCATGAAATCAAATGTAATTTCAACAC